CTTGGAGAATCGTGTTATTTTATTAATTAATTTGTACTGAGAAGATATGATATTCTTATTACGCGTAAATTTTATGTGGTAACATTTGTCGACATTTAATACCATTCTGTTTCTCCGACACCATTCTTGGATTGAATTTAGGTCTTATTGTAGTTTTAATGCGTCATCACTAATTTTAATGCGCTTATATAGTTTTAAATCGTCCGCGTAAAGTGAGCACTTGCTATATTTGATGCATTCCGTGATATCGTTAATAAATACCAAAAATAATACTGGTCCCAGGTGCGATCCCTGTGGAACCCCAGAGGATGAAAAATAAAATGTTGATTCAAAACCGTTGGTCACTACTCTTTCTTCTTCGTTTACTTAAGTAAGATTGGAACCACTGAAGGAGAGACCCGTGAATACCACATTTAGATAGTTTTGACAATAAAATTTGGTGGTCCACTTTATCAAATGCGCTACTTAAATCCGTGTACAGAGCATCCACTTGAATTTTTTTATCAACACTTGTGTAAAGGTCATTGACATAGGGAACAAGATTAGTAACCGTAGATTTCTTTGCACAAAAGCCATGCTGTTGGGGTAGTATGATTAAATTGACATGTGAGATCAACACTGGGCACATAAGGGACTCAAACAATTTAGATAACGTGCTAAGAAGTGACACTGGGCGGTAGTTTTTAATTTCTGAAGGATCGCCTTTTTTGACTATCGGAACCACATTGGCAATTTTCCACTCATTTGGAAAGCTTCCCGTGGAAAGAGAAACATTAAAAATAAGTATGAGGGGATATGTGAGATATTTACCGCACCTTTTAATAAAATGAGGATGTATTCTATCGGGTCCACAGCCTTTATTGGGATCAAGTTGTTTAATAGCTTTAAGAATATCACGCTCACTAAATTTTAGTTTGCTTAATACGTGCTGAGGGAAATAACTTTGCTCATTATCAAAATTGATCAGCGATTGAGATGTTGGGGATGAAAATGTGGACGAAAAATGCTCCGCAAAGATACCACATATGGCATCACCAGTATTAGCATATTTTTCGGAAAGTTTCATAACCGAAGGCATTGAACTGGAATTAAAACGTTTTCCTTTCAGGAATGTCCAGAATTTTTTAGGATCTCTAGAAATAGATTTTTGCATCATATTTATATAATTTATGTAACACTTTCTTATGTACTTGTGTGCTCTATTATTAATCATCTGAAATTCTATTCTACTTCGTGGGTTATTAAATAATTTTATACGATGCCCTCAATTTTTCCTTCTCTTTAAGCATTTGTATTAGGGATTTACTGAACCAAACAGGATACTTTGAATTTTGTGTAACTGATTTAGGCACTGTCAGATCTATAATAGAGAGTAAACATGAATAAAATGCAAGAACCATAGCATTAACATCGGATTGACAATCTTGAAACTCTGTATCCCAATTTACAAGTTTTAATTTGTCTACAACTAATTCATAATTTGCCTTGTAGTAACTATGTTTGAGTAATGGCTTACTATGCAACGGAACAAAATTAATCACATCTATAGAGATTTCGATTGGTGGATGATAATTATTATTTATTTTATTATTATAATTATTTATAAAAATAAAAAATCAACAAAAAGTAATAGTAAATAAAAAAAAATTACAAAAAAGAAAATCACGAAAAAATATAACAAAGAAATGTAAGGATTTGAACCCGATCCCCATAGAATGATGGTACACTGTATGTATAGGACTGATAAACCTTATCTATCACAAGATAAGATATTGAAATTACGCTTTTGTTGTTAATACATACAAATAATTAAAAATACGAAATATGTTAATATTTATTTTTTACTTTCGTGTTTTCGAAAGATCTTATAAAATTATAACTCTCAAAAATAAATAAATACCCTATTACTAAGACCCCGCTGTCTGTATGTCTATCCGTCCGTCTCATGAACCGTGATAGTAAGACAGTTGAAATTTTCACAGACGATGTATTTCTGTCGCCACTATAAGAACAAATACAAAGACAAATAAAATATTTAAGTAATAAAAGGCTTCCATACAACACACTATTTTTACAGAACCCTTCGTGCGTGAGTCCGACTCGCACTTAGTCGGTTTTTTTAATAAATATTCAAAATATATTTAATTTCTTCCTTAGATTCATTTATTGAGGCGGACGGAAAAAGAAATAAAGTGGAAACTTGTTTTTACTTTTGTTTTTCTTTTTTAAAATGTCATGGTTCTTAAACCAACCAGATACAAACAATACCAAAGAGATTTAACTACATCTTAATACATATTAAATACGAAAAGAATTTTTCCCCTATCATATTATAAGTAATAATGTATGTTGTAATGATTAAATAGTTGAAATGTTGTTATAGCAAAAGGATGGCGCTTAATGAAAATTATTTCTCATCTAATCCTGAGCTTCCAAGAAAACATGCAGCATGTATGATGCGCACACGCCTGTATTGCTGAAAGATTCTGATGAACTTACATATTGTAATCACTGTTATCACATTAAGTAATCACATTAGCGTGTATGTTAAAAGAGACTAAGGTAATCACTACTTTGATAAGCCTACATCTTGTTACACTCTGGATTGTTGTTTTCATAATATTGTCGCAGTATATACATACATACATAGGTTGAATGTCAAAAAAATCATTTTGATTTTGATTATGGGTGCATATCAGGGTTTACTAGTACCTATAGTTTCTCAACATAGACATAGAAGGCCTTTTAATTATTACAGATAATATACTACAGATAGACTACTAATATAATAAACAATAAAAAGTTGTATATCCCTCTTGTAAAATGATACTTATGTGACCATCGACTTACCCTTAGCAAGCCCTTTCATTTGATACCCATACTGTGGAGGTGCAGAAAAAAGTCCACCATCTTAGCATGATACCGTCATATAGCTAAGCATGCATTGTCATCCAAAATAAGCGTGTGTACCAAATTATGTTTCAATCGGTTAAAGGTAACTAATTTAAAGTTCAGTCGTAAGATTCCAACCGGACAAACATAAATACATTGCGAGTTAAATAAAAGCTTGTACAAAAATAGGGTGATTTGCGCCAAAGTGAGCGGTGTTCACATCTTAGTATATCCCAGATTGTGCTAGCTCCGAGAAGACTTCAATAGAATCAAGATTGTTAAATATTGAGTCGGCTAAGGTTCGGGAGACACATAGAGTATAGATTAGGAAGAAAATGGCAGTGTAGAGAAGTGCTATACATTGTATTTGTGGTTTTAAACTTAAGGAGACAGGTTTTACTGGCCTTTGTTGTTGGACAATTGCCAATGCGTATGACATAGTCGATATAATGAGTTTTTAAAGATGGCGTTTCTGTAATGATAAAATTAAAACTGACGACTGAATACCGCAGTCAAAAAGAGCGAGAACTGTTTTGTTTCTAATTGCATCGATTGCGTCGATTAGAGTGGTTGATAAGAGTACTCGGTTTGAGGGCTGTGTGGCGAGTTTGAGTAAGGTATCAGATGTGTGGCAATGATCACTATTGGGGTTGCGGCTGCTTGTCTGGTTTGTGCAGTAAGCAGTTACGTCTCTTCTTACACTCTTTGCAAGGCCCTAATTTACATTGACACACATTATGGCCAGAGCGTAAGCAATAAAAATAAAGACAAAATTAAAGCTGGTTTATACCTTTGTCTGACGCTACGATAGGTTCATACCTGTAAAAGAGGGACAGTCATAAATTCTATGGTGACCTAACATAAAAAGGAATTAGTGAAAGGCTTCTATAAAAATACAGAAACTTTGTTGTTTTATAACCTTTGTATATTTTCGATTACATAGATGTTTTTACTGCGCCATTTACTTAGCCTCATACTGTCGATATACGTGGCGCTGAAGTCCTTTCTCTAGTCCGTGTTTATTAAATGTATTTTATGGTGACCTAGTGAGTATATGATGAAAGTTACATATTATATTTTATTACCTTTAACGGAAAGCGGAAATAACCGATTATATTTTATTACCTTTGGATCCCCTCGATTTTTCACGGATTAAAAGAAATGGTTGGTGTACAATCTACATGCAAATAAACCAACAATTTACATTTTACTAGCGACCCGCCCCGGCTTCGCATGGCGGTAATGTATTATACATCCTTCATCTTGAATCACACTATCTAGTAAAAAAAAGGCATCTAGATCGTTGCGTAGTTTTAAAGATCTAAGCATACATAGGGACAGACGGACAGCGGGACGACTTTATTTTATAATTTGTAGTGAAGTTCCATTTATGCCGGTTTCTGAAGTTCTCGGTTAAATTCAGATTAGCTATTGGTTCAATAAAGTTACGCTCAATATAAACTTCGGTTAACTATCACCGCGTTTCTGAATACTCAACGAACCGTTCAATAACTATGAAACCTATAAGTAGTTCTTTGTCTCCCGCTAGATGGGTCTGTTTAATTTATACAGTTTAAGATCAGATTTATTTTAAATTAATAATATTTGTTCTATATTTTTTGATTATTCTTATATTTTAACGCCGCGTTATTTTACTCGAGCATTTTATAATTTTAACATTTAAAAGGATAAAATTAAAATTCCCTGTATCGATGCTTACCGAATCTTGCACATAGGTGGAAGTGTTATGCTTCTGCGTTTCGTCTGACGAGCGAGGTAGGCGGGCGCAGTTTATTAAAATGTTGCAGGTGTCCGTGGGCGGCGGTTTTCTCACTTGTCATAAGGTGAACCGCCAGCTTGTTGCCACCTTCTCACATAAAAAATCAATAGGTACTAGCTACACCAGTGCCTTCTGAAGAAGTCTTTTTAGCTGTAGACGTGGGAGCTTTACTTTTTATAAGAAAAAATCCTTTAATAAGTTCGATGCAATAAATAAATGCAAGAATACTTAATTCAATGTGTTCATGTAATTGTGCTTTATTAATGTTAAGAACTTATAACAATTAAAAGTTCGTAGGAGTTAAATTAGTCTTAAATTATATTTACAGGCGCAGATGCCAGACCCGAAGACCTACAAGCAGCATTTTGAAAATAAACACCCAAAAAATGATTTACCAGAAGATTTAAAGGCATTGTAACAGTTAACATTTATTTAGTTTTATTCTTTAATTTAAAAATTGTAAAAATGTTTAATATGCATTTTTCATTAAAACTTATTACGTGCAAATATTTTTTCAATTGAACGAGGTTCGAGTGTAAATTTTTGAGTGGGAAATTATCTCGCGTGATTTGACAATTTGCAAAAAGATTAGATTTAAATATACACAATATTCGTACAAAGACTTTTATTTTTAAATCTATATCTCTTTAATATAACAATTATTAGCAAAATGTATCAATATTTAATGAAATAATTTGCCATCACAGTTACGGCGCTGATGGCGACCGTTCGCCGACAGTACTAGAATAAAAAGCATTAAAAGGAGAGCGCGGTGCGCGGGAAGGCACCGCCCCCGACGCTATCGCGTTCCCTTCTGGCGTATTTCATTGTGTTGAGATTTCATTGTTCCGGCGGGCGTCGGGCACCGGGCTACATCTTCTCGTAGGTCTCGACGTGGCCGCACTCCTCGCACGTGCGCGAATACTCGTCGGCGTCGGCGTCGTGGCGCTCCTCGCCGAAGCGGTGCCGGTGCGCGCGCGACGAGCGGTCGTAGAGGCTGGAGCGCACGGCCATGCGCAGCGCGGAGAGGCGCCTCCGCGCCGCCTTGGCGCCCGCGCGCTCGCGCCGCTCCGCGCGCGCCGCCCGCTCCAGCTCCACGCGCTCCTCGGAGCCCCACACGAGCCGCGCGCGCTCCTCCACCTGCGCGCGCAGGTAGAGCCGCATCTCGGCGAAGCGCGCGCGGTGCGGGTTGCGGCGCCGCACGCACCGCAGCGGCGGCTCGCGCGCGTCCAGGTCGCAGTCCTTCAGCAGGAACTCGCTCTTCGCCTCCGTGCGCGTCACGAGCGCGTGCGCGCCCTCGTCGTCCCTGGCGGCCGAGATTCGCATCAGTGCGCCGCCCCCTCGGCCCGCCCCGCCCCGCCCCGCCCGCCCCTACCTGCACTCGTCGCAGACGCTGTAGTCGAAGGTGTCGAACAGGTACGACTGGGGAAAGAGGCGGTCGCACTCGAGGCAGCGCGGCTGCTGCGTGGCGTGCACGAGGGGCGCGGGCGGGGCGGCGCGGGGCGCGGCGGGCGCCACCGCCTGCTGCTCCAGCAGGAAGCCGCCGCCCGTGTCCAGGGCGCGCGCCTTGCCCACGGCCACCTCGCGGACGCCGCCCCTCTCTGCCGCGTCTCCGCTGCGAACACGCGCGGTCCCGTTCAAGCGACGAAGAGAGCGACATCGCCGCGACCCCGAGCCCCCACGCACCGCGGCCGCAGCACGAGCCGCGCCTCGCGCAGCGCGCGCGCCCTCTGCCGCTCGCGCTCGGCGCGCGCGCGCTGCGCCGCGCTCAGCAGCGCCGGCTCGGCCTCGCCGGCCGCGACGCACTCGCTCGCCATGCCGCTCACCACCACCTTCACCCATGAAACGATACTTTAAGAAAGAAAACACGTTTATTCGCGGTCTAACTTGGAAAATAATGTGACTACACAGTATATAAAACAATATTGGAAAAAATTTAAATAAATGCAAATATAACAGCAAAAACGAAAAAATCATAATGAGTAAATGTCTATGTAAGCAGCATAAGACCGTGAAAGAGACGGGACTCGGTGAAAGTTAGACTTTTCGAAAGTTATACAGAAACTGAAATTCTTTCTGATCCCGATACTGGTTTTCAGTCCGGCCCGCACTTCCGAGGCAACTCGGACGGCTGCGTTAGTGCACTTGCAATAATACCTACAACGCATAATAACGGAAATTATGTTATTTGTGTTTGCCTTTAATTTATACAGTGGATATCATTCGTCTTCACACTCTTCTCTCCCCACCACCACTGCATCAAAGGTGCAAACACGCCGAGTTGCGGAGGATAGGGAGGGCGGCCAAACGCAATTCTGGCACTCCTCTTCCCCCGCAACCCATCCCCGGTAGCAGGATACAGGAGCCCACTCGGAGTGGCCCTCTCGGGCCGGCCTTACCCCACAGGCCAGCCCAGTGTAGGTTCCTCTTAGCTTTGAAGTGGGTGACCAAGCCACGGCTACTACACGGCTATTAGACAGGGCCACTGCGAGTGGGTTCGTTGAGCCCACTCTGGAGGCCTTCCGCGGCCGAAATATGGTAAGCGGCGGAGCCACAGTTGAAGAATTTGAAGAATTTGAAGGATTAGCAATATATACCTAGACGAATTCCCTTTGATAGATTAAATAATATAAAAGATTCATATCTGTTGAAATCTAAGAAGCAGAAAGAAATCCGTATGATAAACCTAATGTCACAGAATTAATGTAAGCACTAAACAATGTTTGATAAATAAAAATATATCTAAAATGATTGGTCGTATTAATTATTTACTACGGTAAATTTGATATGGGCCCGAAGCTCATATCAAAAATAATAATTTTAAAAAACTGTTTAAAAAATTATTTACCCGTTAGGAAACTACGCGAGCCCTCACTAAGCTCAGCTTTTTACTAGTTTTAACATTAAATTCTCTTTTTTATGACATTAAGACTTATGAAGTACCATAGTATGTACCTCCAGTTTTGCTTAAGCGTCAGAAAACATCACAATCACAAAAAAAGGTTTACTAGTTTAGTATATATATTAATTTACCGGTTTATGTTTAACAAATTGAATGAGATAAAGATAATTTTTATGCAGTTCTAAGCTTTTTTTTGTGTAAAATTTTGTCTTCATCATTCTTTGTTTTAGTCTTGTGTAGTTCGCGAACCATGAACAAATAGGAAACGTATATTTGTACTGTACTAGAAGAAATGTTAATAAATGCTAACTGTTGATTGGTCTAATAGCTCTTTTGTCCTTTCCATGCATGTACCTACACTAATCAGCCTGAATGAACGGAATGCGAGCGAGAAAGAATTGTTAAACTCTTTGTATTGATCATTCAGATCAATTCTGAGATTTTAAGTCCTTTTAGCAACTCAAATAACATTTGAAATCCATATGACAGCTAATTAGTTTACTTCTACAATGATCAGTGTTTAACCAGGCGTTAAAATTAAAATATAGTGGAGTGTTTGTACTTTTCACTTTTTTTAAATACTGATTACAGAATGATATCTCTTATAGTACCACCAACCAAATCCGAAGAACCAAGTAGAGCTATTAGAATAAATAGAAAGAATTAGTTCCCAGTCTGAAATGAACTAGTTCAGAGCGCTTTTTGTAATGACTGAGCAGGCACAAGACTACATTGTTTGAAATAGTTTTTATACTAATAAAAATTGGCATAAGCAAGTAAAATCATAATTCTCATGCCTCTAATCTCTGTATGTTATTTTCTATTTCCAAATATATACAAAATTAAAATACAAGTTAAAGCAAATTAATCACTATAAAATATAATATTTTCTAGATGTTTAAACAAAGTTGTCAACAATAATTGGTAAGCTGTATTTATTAATTTAATTAATGTGAAGAGACTCTTAGCAAAGGACGACTAAAAACTAAATGATTACTCCTAGATAATACAATGGCAGACTTTGAAATATATTTTATACAGCTGCTTTAAATATATATTAGACCCTGAAAAATTAGCATTTAGTCAGATAGTATACTAAGATAATTCAATTCAAGACAGCTTCTACGATGGCTGTTGGATCTCATTAACACAATGAATTTTACAATGGGAATTTATGGTTAAATATAATTTGGTATTTAGGTATTTTTTGTGGATACCGAAATTTGGATCATACAAAGACTAAGGAAACCATTAACCATATTAATATTTTTAGTTATAGACGAATAACGAAACCTATTAGACGACAGTTTTCTAAGACGAACATCCAGACTGTTAAATTTTAAAAAAGACCGTTAATGTATATAAATAGTATTTTGTTGTTCAAGTAATTGTTTAAAGCTGTAGCCCATAACTTACCAGAATTCTTTATTTAGGAGTTCGGTTTTACAATTTGAAACTATAAAACAAGATGTTATTTTAAATTTGTAGATAATAATATATATATAATAACTGCTTTTGGGATATAATTTTCTCTACTTAAATTGTCAGTTCTCAACTCTAATCTTCCTTCATCCTGTATTTTTATGTTTAATAACTACCTTCAATCAAAGTTCACAAATCACAACCTAAACTGATTTTGTTTTGTTAGTAAGATTCAACGTAGTGATTACATCCTCTTTGGTAAGATTAAAATGAGGGATGTGAAAATGTATCGATATTTTGATTCGGTATATCGATACCAAATATTCAATCCGGTAAAGAGTAGTGAGTAGTCGTATTAAATACTTGCTATCTTGACAAATACTCGTAGTAAGAGTAGGAGAAGATTGACTTTCGATATTTCATAATTTTTCACAATATTTTTAAATTCATAGGCTGAAAATTTCACAGAATTGAGAAAACCGAGAAAGAAGTGTCATGTGAGCGTTACCCGACGACCACAGTTAAGCGAAAGTGTCACTAACTGAAGACCGGAAGTTCTGCCAAGTTTAAAAATTATTTTATGCTCAATTTTCAATTAAAAAATTCCAAAAATATGCTAAAAAAATAATGCCAAACAGAATAAAATACAAACAAAGAAAATCTCTTTATTTGACATCACTTAAAAAACACATATTTAAAACATAAAGAGAAAAATAACTAATGTGACGTCAAATTGGAACTCCATTTCAGCAAAATGCTGTAGTTCTATTTGTACTACAGCGCTGATTTTCAAATGGAGCTAAAGTTGACTTCACGGACGAAAATACTACTAATATTATTATTTCTAGAAGAGAAAAAAAATTATAATAATGAAACAATTAATTACGTTACGGTAGATTATCGCGTTGAGTGCGACGTGCCAGTCGTACTACAATAGGCCGCGGCCGAGTATTTTCACCCAGCTCGCGACGTATGTGTCCGAAACGCACTGCACTAACAAGGTCGTTCTCCTCCAAAGTCACACCTAGCTTAGTCGCTATGGCTAAAACAAGATGTATGGAGCGCTCATTTTGTTCTTCAGATACCCCAGAGATCTCGATGTCATTACGTAATAACTCCTGATCTCGGTCATTGATCTCCAGTTTCGTATTTTCAAGAAGAAAGGTGTCGCTGGATGAATTGCATTGATGGCTATTTTCGACCAAATCCATTCGAGCCTCAAGTGAGTCGAGTCGTAGGTTGCAACCGGTAATGGCAGCAAGGAGACTAGAGATAGTAGTCCTAAATTCTTGGCGTGACATTTTAAGTTCATTCGTCAGATCACAAGAAGGTATATCCAAGGTGTTGGAAGTTGGCACTGACATGACCGTTGATTTTTGCCTCTCCTGTGTACGACCCCGTAGCATCACATTTATACTACAGGAATCATCCTTTTTTCTATTAGAAGATTGTTGTTTAATGGGTGTGTTTGTGTTGCCCATCTTAGGCTCCTTACTCAAACATTCTTGGCATTACTAGTTCTTTTTATGATCTGCAGACATAATATTATAGAAACGCTTTTCTGATACATTTGTGGAAATAGACCAGGGTAGAAGCCTTTAAAAATAATAAAAAGTGAAAAAAAAATAATAGTAGGATGCAACCCATTATAAAAGGAGTAGTCTAGTCAACAAGTTCAAAAACGTGTTAAATAGATATAAAGCTCCTAAAAATATGTGCGATAGCTCATTCGATTCGGAATGACGCCTAGAAAAATGTTTTTTAAGGGTTTATTAGCACATAAAAAAATTGCGATTGTTATTAACAAAATAAGATTAAAAAAAAGGGTATTTAGTTTTTTGTTAATAATTTCTAAAATAATGGTATTTAATGAATTTTGAAAAAAGATCCTGAAAGAGGAGGAAATTTCCAATAAAAAAGTCCCTACTCCCGGAATTCTATCTCTATTATTTATAATTTTTTTTAACGCTGAAAATAGGGCTCCGCGAGGTCGTTACGGCATAGGGCGCCGTCTAAAAAGCCCTATATATCACCTAAAATATTTTTTTTATAGTATTAAATAACAATTTAAAAATTTGAATAAATTATGGTGTAATCTAGACACTTAAACGAAAAAAATCTCGGTGGAGAAAAAATTTTATGTCGATTTTTCAAAAAGTTACACCATTGTTAATTAACAAATTTTTTTCCAATCTCTGTTTTTAAAAATTATGGCATAAAAGTTTAAATAATTGGTCTATAAATTTTTCGCTTCGTGGAGCTCTTCTCATTTAGGTACTTAATAAATTAATGCAAAAAAAAAAATATTAAAGTTTATAATTTTTTTCTTAAATAATTTTTTTCATAATTTATAATCGTTTTTTTTATATTTCAATTGTTTAATTAATTACTTAAGAAATTATTTTATTCTTAAAAATCATCATTGATCCTTTTCAATGGATTAACAGAGGAATAATTTTTTTTTTTAAATAATTTCATTGTTTATAAACTTAACAATTTGTTATAAACAAATAATATCGGTCGGTCGGTCGGTCGGTCGGTCGGTCGGTCGGTCGGTCGGTCGGTCGGTCGGTCGGTCGGTCGGTCGGTCGTGTCATTTATGCTTTTGATAAATCTATTGCCTTGGTTCCTATGTGTTTAATTTTGTGAGTTGTTGTCTTATTTATCGTGAGGATGGGCAGAGGATACATTTTATCTATTTGATACAGTACGTTTCTCAGCTTTCTCTTTTCTTCTTTGCGACTCTGCCTGGCGAGGAGTGAAATGTGTTAGGCCAATCTCAAGATTGGGTGCTGCATAGATTATGCAGCTAGCGTTTCTCTTCTTGTCAGTCACTGACACGCGTAAAGGGATACTTTTTGGGCGTAACTGGCGGGCCAGTCCCCCCAATCCACAATGGTCTGGTTAGGTTAGGTTAGGTTAGGTTAGGTTTTTTTTTTTTTTTTTTTTTTCTCGTTCCCCTGATATAGTTGGTCAGGGACTTTTTTCACCTTTTTTCTTTTCTTTCACTTTTTTGGGGTTGGTGATCTTCCTTTTTTGTATTGTGCTTTTTATTTTACATCTTTTATACTTTTACATTTTCTGTTTACTTAGTAATATGTCTATCTTATTTATGCTTATATAATTCTCTTACTTCTATTTACTGTTACTTTTCTAAATACATATCTTTTGTCTTATTACAAGAATTATTATTATCTTTAACTAATTTAGGCTTACATATACTCCTATTTACTTACGCATTTCTACATAGTTATATTTTTTATATGCTACTACAATTTATGTATCTGTAGACTATTTAAACTTATACTGTTATCTTAATTCTATTTACTAGTGCTATACTGCTTACTTGTTATTACATTATATTACACAATTTTGTTACTCAATATACTAAACATTATTTTTGTTGTATTACATTCATCTCCAATGTATTTTTGCTTACTTTCCTAATTTACGATACATCATCTGGATCTTTTTTGCATCTCATTGTTTACATTGTATAACGCTTCAGTTGATAATCTTATTCTACTTTCTTAGTTTTCACAACATTCTTTAAACTTATTCTACTTCTTTTATTTCTTACTAATACGTTTTGGGCATGTTACATATTTTTATTTTAAAATTTCTGTTTTACAATTTTGTGTTTCTGACTTTAATTAACCTTATATATATTTCTTCTAATTCCTTAATTCTAGCATTGTGATATGTACATCCAACGTGTACGTATACAATTGCTTTTAATTGCTTTATTTATCTATTTTCCTATTTATGGTAGTGATAAATCTATTACCGTTTGCCAAACTTTAATTATTAGATTGCAAATGCATTTTATGCCCAGTAATTTTATTCCGTAGTATAGGCAGAGGTCGTTCTAGTTGGTTATACTTCATGGTATTTTGTGTTCCTCCTTTCAATGTTCGTGGCTTAGTTTTATGCAGTTTGGTTTACTCCAATCTCAGATTGGGTGTTGCATGCATGATATGCAACTCCTTGCCGCTAATTTGCCTTGTATCTTGTTGGTCTTGTACTCGGGTGCGGGTAATTGTATACCCCAGTTATTCCTTGCATCTGTGTGTGAGCGACGTCCCGTTATTATCTGCAAGGTCTCCAATTCACTTGCCGCCGGAAACGGAAAAATGTTTGGCTGGTCGTGTTTTGGAGGTATCTTGAGTAACGTGACTCGCTCCGTTGCCGGCCAGGATTGCGGATCTCTTGGGGGCCATCTTAGCTGTAAGCTACAGACGACCTCGCCAAGGTATCCCATTTCTTCCTGACCGGACAATCTGCACTAAATGCATTATGGTTTCTTCTATCTTGCTTTGCCTTTGTACAGTTTTTGCACAAAGGTTCCACTCCGGCGGTCCAGTCAGCGCACTCGGTCCTGAGGTGTGGGCCTCCA